GCGAAGGAGGGTGCAGCAGGAAGGAGCAATTGGCATGCAGTTAAATAAACAAAAGCATCGTAGTACAGCAGGTAAACCATGTGTAGGCCAAACAAAAAAGAAAGCTAAAATGGCATAATGGGACCAATATCCTCACCTTCATACGAGCATTCGGTCGTAGTCAAATGTATAGTTGATCCGCACACAGCAGCAGAGCACAGCACAACAGCATAGAATCAATCTCCATCCATCCGCACCTTCATATCGAGCATTCGGTCATAGTCAAATGTATAGTTGGCCCGCACTCACAGCAGAGCACAAGCACAACAGCATAGAATCACATCTCCATCCATCCTCGCCTTCATATCGAGCATTCAGTCGTAGTCAAATGTATAGTTGGTCCGCACTGACAGCACAGTACCACCAGCACAATGGCATGTAGTCACAGCTCCGTTAGATCTCACCTTCATATCGAGCATTTGGTCGTAGTCAAACGTGTAGTTGGTAAGCCGATTGTTCTTCAAATCAGCGTATCTGCGATCAATCATGAGTTGACGTGACGACAGGGGGGACATGTGTTAGGGGCATCAACACGCATCGCAACAATTGGCCTCGTGGCCCACGGCTGAAACTGCTGCATTGAGCTTTGTTTTGAGCATATTTCCTACCTGACCACACCTGAGCGCTAAAAACAAGGGATTTGTGAGAAGACTTAACTACACCTGACAGCCAAACCACAACTCCAGAGCTTCCTTTCATAAAACAAATCCCACACTGCCACTCACTTGACTGCCCCATAGCCCAGTGCACGGCTGCTGCATTGACCTCCGCAGCCCACCTGTTTACTACTACAGCGCTGCAGCTTGACCAAATCCCAAATCCCACACTGCCACTCACTTGACTGCCCCATAGCCCAGTGCAGCGGCTGCTGCGTTGACCTCCTCCTCCTTCCACTCGCCCTCCCGACCTGATGGGGCGGAAATGAAGTGATGGAAAACGGCGGGGCAGAGGGAGCATTCGTTGTGAGACGTAAAAACTAGATTGCAGTGATCACAACAAAGGTGTAGGAGGGGGAGGCGGAAGTAAGAGCGATTGCAACCAAAAAAAGCAGAGCTTGATTTTCAGTTGCATCTGCTAGCAGCAAGACAAGGGGATATATTCTGCAGCTGCTCTGCTCCTCACCACCTAGCTGCTGCGCGTGCGGTATCCCATTTTACCCTTCCCATCATCGCCCAGCACCAGCCCGAACCCCACATGGTCCACACAGATAGCGGGTGCATTCGTTGCTGCCTCTTCATAATGTTGCAGGTTGTTTTTGAGAATTCTCAGGAACAACCCACTTCAATATGCACCGCTTCCATCCTCGCCCAGCACCAGTTTTGAGGCGCCTCAAAAGTTGTTTTTGAGAATTCTCAGAGACAACCCACTTCAATATGCGTTTTGAGGCGCCTCAAAAGGCGCTCAGAAGTTGTTTTGAGAATTCTCAGAGACAACCCACTTCAATATGCGCTTTTTGAGGCGCCTCAGGCGCCTCAGAAGTTGTTTTTGAGAATTCTCAGAAACAACCTACTTCAATATGGGCTTCCCATCCTCGCCCAGTTTTTGAGGCGCCTAAAAAATCGTCTCAGTTTTTGAGGCGCCTCAAAAATCGTCTCAGTTCTTGAGGCGCCTCAAGAAACCACCAACTACTTCAATATGCGCTTCCCATGCCCAGCGGCAGCCTTAGCCCCCTTCCTTCTCCCTCCACCCCCCCCGCACCTCTTTCCCCACGAACACTATTTCCCACCCACGTATCTTGCTCAACCAGCCCCTGGCGCGGGTAGCAGCCTCATCAAGCAGGTCAACCAGCCGCACCACCTCGCTGCTGCTGCTACGAGTCGCTTAGGGGGGCCGGCCTTTTCCCATCCAACCATGCACCCACCTCGCTCAACGAGCCCCTGCTTGGCGCGGGTAACAGCCTCGTCCAGCAGGTCGACCAGCCGCACCAACTCGCTGCTGCTGCTGCTACACCCACCTCTCCCTTCCATCCACTAACTCTTTTCTAATTACTCACCTCGCTCAACGAGCCCCTGCTTGCGCGAGTAACCGCCTCGTCAAGCAGGTCCACCAGCCGCACCACTTCACTGCTGCGCGTGCGGAACCGCTTCCCATCGTCGCCCAGCACCAGACCGAACCCCACATGGTCCACTCGGATAGCAGGCGCATTTGCTGCTGCTGCTCCTTCAGTTGCAGCCTTGCCCTTCTTGGCCTTGCCCGCATAGAAGCCCGCCTTTTGGGCTGCCTGGAGGAGGGACGATGGGGAGAGGGCGTTGAAGAGAGAGGTGGTTACAGTACAAACGAGATCAGCCGCTCCCCATCGTCGCCCAGCACAAGCCCGAACCCCACATGGTCCACGCGGATAGCTGGTGCTGTGCTTCCCTCCTCACTTGCTGCTGTTGCCTTGCCCTTCTTGGCCTTGCCTGCGTAGAAACCCGCCTTTTGAGCTGCCTGAGGCGTGGAGGAGGGAGGGAGGGGGCAAGGGATGGACGAGAGTGAATGTGATTTTAGTCCTGGAGAGTTGAAGGGAGAACCAGAGCGAGATGTATTTTGAGGCGCCTCAAAATACACCTAAATGCACGCTGATTGTAGTCCTGGAGAGTTGAAGGGAGAACCAGAGCGAGAAAGCAGTGGAGCGTAAAAAACAGCATGGTTGTGGAATCGCTACACAACGATGAAAGGGGGGCATCTATCTTACCTTGAAGAACATGTCAAAGGGCTGCGACTGCGCAACATGAGGTGCTGACCTGTCAGAGTTTAAAAGCATGTTTAGCAGCTCACCTTGAGAAACTTGTTCAAGAGCTCACTTGAAGAACATGTCAAAGTGCTGCGACTGCCCAACATCCGTGACGTAGACAACCCACTCCGCCTTCTCCTCCTCTATGCGGTAGCTGTGAGGGAGGGGAAATGCAGGGGGAGGAGAGAGCGAGGTGAGAGATGAGGAGGGGAGGGAGGCACAGCAGCGAGGGAGGCACAGCAAGCGAGGGAGGCACAGCAAGCGAGGGAGGCACAGCAAGAGAGGGAGGCACAGCAAGCGAGGAGGCACAGCAAGCGAGGGAGGCACAGCAAGCGAGGAGGCACAGCAAGCGAGGGAGGCACAGCAAGCGAGGGAGGCACAGCAAGCGAGGGAGGCACAGCAAGCGAGGGAGGCACAGCAAGCGAGGGAGGCACAGCAGCGAGGGAGGCACAGCAAGCGAGGGAGGCACAGCAAGCGAGGGAGGCACAGCAAGCGAAGGAGCACCACGTCACGTGGACAACCGACTCCGCCTTCTCCTCCTCTGCGCAGTATCTGTGAGGGGGGTTGGTGAAAGATGGAGGGGAGAGTGGGGGAAGGGGATGAACGAAGGGGCCCGGGAAAGGAAGAGACGAGTAACGTCCGTGTCTTGAACGACCCGCTCCGCCTTCTCCTCCTATATGCGATAGCTGGGGGGAGGTGGGAGGGGAGAGGGGGGGGAGAGGGAGGGGAGGGTGGAGAAGGGAAAGGAGATTAAAAAGAAGGGGACTGGAGGATAGACACGGATGCCATTTTACGACCCATTCCGCCTTCTCCTCCTCTATGCAGTAGCTGGGGGGGTGTGTGGGGGGGGGGGGGGGGGGGGGGAGTGGGAGGAGAGCAGGAACGTATGGTCATCAATAGCAGCATAATTGAACCTCCCATCACTCTTCACCACGATCAGAGGAGCCTTGTGGCCCTCCACCAAGATGCACACCATTACGTGCCAAGCAACTCACAGCAGGCAGGTGAGGTCGGTGGTGGCATACTTGAAGCCCCCGTCGCTCTTCACCACGATCAGAGGACCTTGTGGCCCTCCACCAAGATGCACACCATTACGTGCCAAGCAACTCACAGCAGGCAGGTGAGGTCGTCGTGGCGTACTTAAAGCCCCCATCGCTCTTCACCACGATCAGAGGCACCTTGTGGCCCTCCACAAAGACGCACTTGCCCCCTCATCCTCACTCAGCAGCACTTGAAACACCTTGGCCCCCTCCTCTCACATCATCCACTCACAGCAGGCAGGTGAGGTCAGTCGTTGCGTAGTTAAAAGCCCCCATCGCTCTTCACCACGATCAGAGGCACCTTGTGGCCCTCCACAACCCCTGCACTGCCCCCCTGCGCTCTCCACCACCAGCCCAGCTGCCTTGACCTTCTCCAGTGCTGCAGGGATGCGCGAGTTGTAGAACGACTCGCCCTGGTTGCATGAGAGTTGAGAGGGAACCCAAGGGGAGAAAAACATCAAAGACAGACAGGTAAAACGTCCTGCTCCTCCCCTCCACCCCTCCCCACTTCCCCCCTGCGCTCTCCACCACCAGCCCAGCTGCCTTGACCTTCTCCAGTGCTGCAGGGATGCGCGAGTTGTAGAACGACTCGCCCTGGTGGTTGCATGAGGGTTGAGAGGGAACCGAAGGGGAGAAAAACATCAACGACAGACTGGGACGAAATTTTAGGTGCCTCAAAAATCGTTGCATGAGGGTTGAGGGAAACGAAGGGGAAAAAAACATCATAGACAGGCTGGGAAAACGTCTTTCGCCTTTAACGCCACCTTCTTCTCCCCCTTGGCCCATAACTTGCGGTACTCCTCCCCCACCCCCTGCAGCTTCACCACCGCCCTCTGCACCCTCTCCTTGACCTCCCACCCAACCCTGGAAAACGAGACCCTTTCAACCCCACAAAAACACCAGCAAGCCCAACAAACTGCTTCCACATTCACCTTCTCCTCGAGTTTGATGCCCAACCGCTGGCAAACCAGATCAAACTCCTTCCTGCTGACGTCACAGATCTTGGCCCATGCTTTCCGGTACTCCTCCTCCCCCCCTTGCAGCTTCACAACCGCCCTCTGCGCCCTCTCCTCCTTCACCTCTCTAGTCTTCTCTGAGGCTAAGACACCCATTCAGCACAATCCATCCCCACCCCCTTCGGGAAGGAACCAGGCAAGCCGTCAAACAGCAGAAACCAAAAACCACTCTCAGGGCGCATCACCTCGGGGCTGGAAGGCCCATATCCGAACATACGTAACGAATTCACTGTACGAACAGTTTCTCGACGAGATCCGAACACAAATTTGAACACCCTGGTGAATGTGACAGCTCGTGACGAGAGGTGACAGCCTGTTCGAACATGCGACGTCGCCAAGTCTTGGACGACTTCGCGAAACGTCGCAAGAAAAATATTTAGTCGTCTGCCATTCCAGTTGACTCATTTTTCGCCCATTTAGTCAAAATGTCTCTTCGTGGTCTACTACTACTGCTCGCCTTGTTTCCCAACAACAATGTCCTTTTCGATGAGCTTTCTCCTGCATGGCGACATTTGCAATGGTCGCAAACATATGTGTGCGACCCTAAACCAATCAAGTCAGTCATCCATGCGGAATCCCTGTCACCAATCCCAACTTGTTCGAACAACTCTGTTCGAACGTGCGGCATGGAGAGCTTCGTGCCCCATGTGACAGCTCTGTTCAGATTCACGAAATTTCCGACTAGCGACGTCACGAACACCCATACGAGGTGTGGCGAAAAATGTAACATTTCACCTGTTCGAACGAGCGTGCTGTTCGAACTGAGAGGTGAAGCGCCGTCAACCCAACCCAAACTCACCTTCTCCTCTAATTTGATGCCCAGCCGCTGATAAACCAGATCGAACTCCTTCCTGCTGACGTCACAGATCTTGGCCCACGCTTTCCGGTACTCCTCCTCCCCTCCCTGCAGCTTCACCACCGCCCTCTGCGCCCTCTCCTTGAACTCTGCGTCCTCATCAAAGCGCTTCTTGGCCGCCTTGTAAAAGACTTGGAGATCTCCGATGGCCTGATCGCCAATGGTTTCCCAGTCAGGGAACTTGTCGAACAGGTATTCAATCAGCATGCCAAACTGACGTGACACAGACAAGACAACAGGAGGGAGGGAAGTGAAGGGAGCGGGCGGGAGGGAGGGGAAAAGGGGAGTCGAAACGGAAGGGAGGAATGGCAGGAGGGTAGTGAGCAGCACCCCTCTCCTTGAACTCGGCGTCCTCGTCGAATCGCTTCTTGGCCGCCTTGTAGAACACCTGCAGGTCGCCAATTGCCTGATCGCCGATGGTTTCCCAGTCGGGGAACTTGTCGAATAGATACTTGATCAGCATGCCAAACTGCATGGGTTGTTGAAGGAGCAGAGTGGGGAATGGGGAATGGGGAATGGGGAATGGGGAATGGGGGAGTGGATAAGCCCAAGAGCATGCTAGTAAGTGCCTTGTAAAACACCTGCAGGTCGCCTATTGTTGCCTGCTCGCCCACGGTCTCCCAGTTGGGGAGCTTGTCGAATAGATATCCAATGAGCATGCCAAAGTGCATGGGGTAGGAGGGGAGTGGGGGGGGAAAGATTTTCTAAATCTTAAATCCTGCTCCATCCTAAACCCCAAGCCCCGACCCAATCCCCAGACACCCCCTCGCCCTACCTGGATGCCCCAGTCGCCCACAAGGTTCCTCCTGAGGACCTCCACGTGGCAGTACTCGAGCATCCCCTTTCCCCTCCCCTTAAACCCCAAACCCTGGTTGTACCTGGGTGCCCCAGTCGCCGACGTGGTTCCTCCTAAGGACCTCCACGTGGCAGTACTCGAGCATGCGGGCCAGCGTGTCACCAATGATGGTGGACCGCAGCGCAGGTGCCCCACGTGCATCTCCTTGGCGATGTTGGGCGACGAGAAATCCACCACCGCCCGCGCCACAGGCAGGTAGCCAGGGCGCGCAAACCCACCCTTCAACCCCGAAAACCCAAAACCCGAAACCCTGAAATACTGGGATCCGAACCCCAAAGACACCCTCTCCCGGCCTACCTGAGTGCCCCAGTCGCCGACATGGTTCCTCCGCAGAACCTCCACATGGCAGTATTCCAGCATCCTGGCCAGCGTATCCCCAATAATAGTCGACCGCAGGTGTCCCACGTGCATCTCCTTGGCGATGTTGGGCGACGAGAAGTCCACCACCGCCCGCGCCACAGGCAGTTTAGGAGCCCACGCAGCGATGCCAGCGCCCTTCAAGACGCCAGACACGTGCTCTTCCAGCCAGGCTTGCGTCAGCACGATGTTCACGAAGCCCGGGCCGGCAATGCTCGTCTTTTCCACCATCGGGGAGGGCGGCAGGTTCTTGGCGATTGCCTGGAAAGGAGGGGAGGGAAGGTGGAGACACGGGGATGACAAGGATTCGGGATGTTTGATTCCTGTTTGGTTTCTTGGAAAGGCTGGGCTTTGATTGTTGGGCGACGACAAGTCCACCACCGCCCGCGCCAAAGGCAGTTTGGGAGCCCACGCAGCGATGCCAGCGCCCTTCAAGACGCCAGACACGTGCTCTTCCAGCCAGGCTTGGGTCAGGAGGACGGTGTTCACAAAGCCCGGGCCGGCAATGCTCGTCTTTTCCAGCATCGAAGAGAGCGGCAGGTTCTTGGCGATCGCCCATGAAGGTGGAAAGCAGGGAAGGGGGGGGAAGGAGATGGAAAGGCAGAGGGCACCAGGTACAAGGGGGGGTTTGATTGCTGTCAGATATCTTACAACTGGAGAGTGAGAATGGTTCGATCATTAACTGCCAGTAATATATACCTACAATTCGCCCAGGACCTGAACCTCTCACCTGACCAATGGCGTTGGGGTTCTTGAACTCAGTGGAGGGTTGATTGTTGTCAGATATCTTACAACTGGAGAGTGAGAATGGTTCGATCATTCAACTGCCAGTAATATATACCTACAATTCGCCCAGGACCTGAACCTCTCACCTGACCAATGGCGTTGGGGTTCTTGAACTCGGTGGTGGACCCCTTGATGCCCGCCCAGCCCATGGCGATGTGAGGTCGTAACGTTGCTGCTGCCAATGGCGTTGGTGCAGCCAACGCTGCACATGAACACACACCCACGCTCTCGCCTGGCCGATGGCGTTGGGATTCTTGAACTCGGTGGTGGAGCCCTTGATGCGCGCCCAGATGCCCATGGCGTCGTAACGTAGTAATGCTGCTGCTGACAATGGCGTTGCTGCTGCTGCCAACACGCACACACTCATGGGGCCGCAGCTAACTCCCACCCAAACATGCGCATGAACTAGCACACACCCACTCTCACCTGGCCAATGGCGTTGGGGTTCTTGAAGTCAGTGGTGGAGCCCTTGATGCGCGACCAGATGCCCATGGCGTTGTTGCTGCATGCACAAATGGGGAAGGGAACGTCAAAACGGCGAAGAGAGACGGACAGACAGTAAAATACTGTCACACATGGACGACTTCTGAGTCGACTCATGAGTTGACTTTTGAGCCGGCTCAAAAGTCAAGACGGACAGACAGTAAAATGCTGTCACACATGGACGATTTCTGAGTCGACTCATGAGTTGACTTTTGAGCCGACTCAAAAGTCAAGACTGACAGACAGTAAAACACCGTCACACATGGACGGATGGACAGAAACAGCCCTGGAAGCAACAGACGGACTTAGAAAGAAACGGCTGGTAATAACCGTTGCAGCGTGTGAAGCAGAACAACAAGCAGAGAAGACGCACCATTGGTAGTCCCCGAACTTGGGGTTGTTACACGTGGTAACCAGCGGCTCCAGATCGGGCAGGTCGGGAAATGTTTTCGCCAGAGACTGCGCCACGAGCTGGGCTACCAGGTCACGCACGCTGCCCTCCTGCCCCTGACGGGCAGAAAAGACGAGAGGGGAAGGCGAGGAAGAAGGGAAAGGTAAGGGGGAGGAGCGTTTGAAGAGGGTAAGAGAAAACGAGCGGGGGAAGGGGCGGGGGAAAGAAGGGGGAGAGAGGGGAGAGGGGGGAGCGGGGAGGAGGGGGAAATGGGACGGGAGGTTGCGTTTAGGTTGAAAAAATCGTTGACGTGAATCCAGTTACAACTCTCGACTGTTGAATCGGATTACAACTCATGAACCCAATCCAAACACCTCCCTCTCGCTCCTCCCCCTCTCACTCCTCCCTTTCCCACTCCTTCTCTGCCCTCCTTCTCTGCCCACCTTCTCTGTGTCGCTGATTTCCATCGTCTTAACCGCTTCAGCCGCCGCTGCTGCAGATTCGCTCGCCATCGCTATCACGCTCGTTGAGTTTCGCAAAGGCTTCGCGAACGCTGTTACAGGTGCTGCGATTTGCGCAGAGAGAGGGTTCGCGGAACGCCAAGCGAGGGTTCTGCTGCGGGGGTTGAAGGCGGAGGCCGAATTGGAAGCGGAGGCGGAGTGGCAGAGAACCGCGGGGGCCGCGGAAATGCGGAGAACCGCGGGAGCAGCGGCAACTTGCGGAAAGGACGAAATCCGCCCGTAGGAGCCGAAGCAGCGAAGGCAAGGAGTTACCACTGCGACATGTGATTGTAGCCAGCGTGACAGTACGCGAAGGGAAGCCAGGGGCGGTATGGAAGGAAAAAGGAGGAGCAAGTTTGATAAGGGTTCGACTGATTTGAATCCGGAGAGGTACGAAACGCTTTTTTACGCTTACGGAGGTAGTGTTTGGAGCGAGGTTTTGGTGATCCCAATGCAATTAATGACGGTGACAGAAAAGCAAAAACGATTCAGATGATGAGGAATAAACACGACTGGGAAGACCATGGTACATTCTAGGTCACCAACTACACATGCCAGGAAAAGCAGAAAGCTGACCTGGCAAAAACTGGTTGGATAAGCAGCGCATTGGCTCAACTGCAGGCAGGCGATCGCGACATGCGAACCTTAGCGAAACGGATTACAGAGGAAAAAAAAGGGATACCTGCACTTATCCTTGAACAACGCCGCCTGAAACGGCGGATGATTAGGGAGAAAGGAGACGTGAGAAAAAAAGGACCATTGAAAGAAGTCAGGATTTCGGAATTTGGGGAAGCTGGCCAGCGTGCTTATATCGAAGCCTGATTCGCGGATGAGGAGGCTCGGAAACTTTGATAGTGAAGGGGTTTCTTCTATCGAGAGTGGCGGGAATCCCAAGGTTCTGCGACTACGACGGATTTTGGCTGTGGCGACGAAACTTGTAGCCACCAATGAAATGAGAATTTACGAGGTACCAAAGTTACCAGAATGAATCTGGTAACCTTGCGCGAAACGAATTTGGCTTCTCGTCACTTTCATTTTTCATTGCGAAGCAAATGCGAAACTGCTCCACGGAATGGTCTGTTGAATCCAAATCCGAAATCACGACAGGCTTTCGTGCGGTTCAAAGTGGTTCCTACCAAGTAAAAGCGTTTCTGTAAACCTTCAAAACGGTTCGGTGTGATTTTGAGGAGGAAACGAACCCCTCTGATCCTGGGAATTGCCCCCATCTGACAACATCACCAGCTTGAAATGACTACTGCTTTGCTGTCAGGATAATATAGAACGGCTCGCTTTCCGACTCGATACCATTCACAGCGATTTTTGTAGGTCCTGGTGCTTTATTTGGTGATTTTTTGTCTGCGCGAACTCTGAACACATTCATGGCGATTGGTCTTCAGCCTTCGTTCGTCGCCACCCACATCAACTCTGCCGTCCCGTCTCTTACGTTACCTCCGCAAGTTTCCACCTTCCCCCTCACATTTGCGCGCATTCCACCCGCAAGTGTCGCGCTCACCACTTCCCCATGCGTCCTCCCCCGCGCGCCCCTCCGCGGGGCACCTTCCCGCGCACGGATCCGCTCATCGCCGCGAACAGCGGCGGCACGCGCGGCAGCAGGGGGCGACGAGCCGCTTCCCGCGGGTGGCGACCCGGCGTTGGCAGCAGCGGCGTGGAAGGCGCTGTAGCGTGCGCGCGAGTCCGGCCTCTGATTCACTGCATCACCAACTTCGTATCCATGGATGCGCTGCTAATACCCTCCTCGCCGCTGGCGCCGCGCCGGCCATGGTGCATTCTCTAGAAGAGGTGCGGCTGTTCTTCCCCCTCCCCCTTTCCCCTTCCCCCTCTTGCCCCCTTCCCCCTTCCCCCTCCCCCCTTTCTCCCTTCCCCCTCGAGCCCCGCAAGTGGAGGATTTTCCCAGGAAACATTCCCACACTCACACCGTATTGGTGTTACACCTTCGAGAATTCTCAAAAGTCACACCCACACCACACCTCCCCCTGTCCTTTCCTCCCCCAAACCCCCACCACATCTCCCCACCACCCCTCCCCTCCCCATTCCCCCTTCTCTTTCTCCCCCCCATTCTCTCCTCAAGCCGCCAGGTGGAGGAATTTGCCAGCCTGGCATCGGCGCTCTATGTCAACATTGGCACCCTGAGCCCCAATTGGGTGGACTCCATGAAACGGGCAGCCAATGTTATTTCTGCCCGGAATCGGCCGTGGGTCCTGGACCCTGTGGGTTGCGGTGCCACGACGTACCGAACCAAGGTAGGCTCGTTCTCACCGAACCAAGGTAGGCTCATTCTCGCCGAACCTAGATAGGCTCATTCTTGCCGAACCAAGGTAGGCTTGATGTTCTCACCTGCCTTTCCTCTGCTGCCTATTCTCGCCTGCCTTTCCTCCTTTACGCACACCCAAGCAACCTCCATCTCTATCGCTATCCGTTTCTCATCTCTCACCTCTTCTCACCGTCTCTCACCCCTTCCCACTCACCTCCACCCTCTCTCACAGACCTCGGCGGAGCTCCTGGCACTGCGACCAACGGTGGTGAGAGGGAACGCATCTGAAGTGCTTGCTCTGGCAGGCGCCGTCAGCGCAAACACCCGGGTAGGCCAAACCCCAACATTCTGTTGTGTGCTTTTTTCTCTTTTTTCTGGGGGGGGGGGGGGGGGGGGTATTTGGGGGGAGTTCTGGTGTTTTGGTTGAATGTGGAACTGCTTTTTCTGGCAAGCACCATCAGCGCGAACACCCGGGTAGGCCAACTTTAACATCTGTTGTGTGCTAAGGAGGTAGGTACCGAGGCGATTCTTCATTCAACTGAAAAAAAAAAAAAAAAAAAAAAATCTCATATGTTTCAAACCGTTTGTAACTGCACCTTCCACTTTCCTTTCTACTCCCCTATTCTCCCCCCAACGCACAACCAGGGGTAGAAAGCACGGTAGCATCTACAGCAGCAGAAGCAGCAGCACAGGAGCTTGCATCAGAGTGACGCTGCATCAGAGTGACAGTGGTGGTGGCGGTGTCGGGAGCAGCAGACTCAATTCCTTGCTTCTCCTTCCGCCCCTGCTTCTCCTTCCTCCCCCACACCCCACACCCCACCCCCCACCCCCCACCCCCCACCAGGGGGTAGACAGCCACAGTGGCATCAACAGCAGCAAGTGGCGGCAGCGCAGCAGCTGGCATCAGAGCGGTTAACAGTGGTGGCAGTGTCGGGAGCAACTGACTTTATGTCTGGCCTCTCCTTTCTTCCCCACAACTCCCCACCAGGGGGTAGACAGCACGGTAGCGTCAACAGCCACCAGTGGCAGCAGCACGGCAGCTCGCATCATAGTGGGGCGACAGTGGTGGCAGTGTTGGAGGCAACAGATTTCACCCCCTGCCTCTCCTTCACCCCTGCCTCTCCTTCCTCCCCTGCCTCTCCTTCCTCCCCAACCCCACCCTTCTCCTCAGGGAGTAGACAGCACGGTAGCATCCACCGCAGCAGTGGCGGCAGCACAGCAGCTGGCAGCAGAGTGGAAAACAGTGGTGGCAGTGTCGGGAGCAACGGATTTCCATCACCGACGGTCGCACCGTGCTGGCGTGTCACAACGGGGTGCCACTCCTTCCCCTCTCTGTTCGCTTTTTTCCTCCCAGTGTCGGGAGCAACAGAACTCGTCCCCTTCTTCTCCTTCCTCTCCCCACCCCCCCACACATCCTCCCCACCAGGGGTAGACAGCACAGTAGCATCAACAGCAGCAGTGGCGGCAGCACAACAAACTGGCATCGCAGGGAGGGGACAGTGGTGGCAGTGTCAGGAGCAACGGATTTCACCACAGACGGCCACACCATGCTGGCGTTGTGGCAACGGGGTGCATCTCCTGCAAGCCATCACCGCCACAGGCTGCAGCGTCACTGCTCTCATCACTGCCTTTGTTGCTGCTGCTGATGGTCATGGTCCTGCTTCGGATGCGGATCTGTCACCGCCTCTTCTCGCCACGGCCTGTGCTCTCGCTGTTACGGGTAATTCGTCTACACTCCTTCCCTCTGCTTTTCTTAGACCAGCCCCCTCTGCTGCAAGCCAGCCACTGCCACGACTCACGCCGTTCTGTTGCGTGTCACAACGGGGTGCCTCTCTTCAAGCCATCACCCGCCACAGGCTGCAGCGTCACTGCTCTCATCACTGCCTTTGGTGCTGTGCTGCTGCTGCTGCTGCTGCTGCTGCTGCTGCTGCTGCTGTGCTTGCTGCTGCTGCTGCTGCTTGCCTGCTGATGATGCTGATGCTGATGCTGATGATGATGATGAGTGATGATGAGATGATGATGATGATGATGATGAGATGATGATGATGATGATGATGATGATGATGATGATGATGATGATGATGATGATGATGATGATGACTGATGATGATGATGATGATGATGATGATGATGATGATGATGATGATGATGATGATGATGATGATGATGATCATGAGATCATGATGATGATGATGATGATGATGATTATGATGATGATGATGATGATGATGATGATGACTGATGATGATGATGATGATGATGATGATGATGATGATGATGATGATGATGATGATGATGATGATGATGATGATGATGATCATGATGATGATCATGATGATCATGATGATGATGATGATGATGATGATGATGATGATGATGATGATTGATGATGAGGATGATGATGATGATCGATGCTGATGATGATGATGATGATGATGATCGATGATGATGATGATCATGATCGATCATGATGATCATGATGATGAGCATGATTGATCATGATGGATCATGATGATCATGATGATCATGATGATCATGATGATCATGATGATCATTGATGATCATGATTGATCATGATGATCATCGATGATCATGATGATCATGATCATGATCATGATGATGATGAATGATGATGATGATGATGATGATGATTGATGATGATGATGATGATGATGATGAGATGATGATGATGATGATGATGATGATGATGATGATGATGATGATGATGATGATGATGATGATGATTGATGATGATGATGATGATGATGATGATGATGATGTGTCACCGCCCTCTCCTCGCCACGGCCTGTGCTCTTGCTGTTTACGTTAATTCGCCTCTCTGTTTCCTCCTCTCTGTTTTTCGTAAATCACCTTCTCTCTTCTTCAAGCTATCACTGCCAATGGCTGCAACCTCACTGCTCTCATTGCTGCCTTGCTGCATTTCTGCTGCTTTTGAGTCGACTCAAAAGTCACCCGCATTTCTGCTGCTGCGGACTAAGCTTCTGCTCATCACGGTGCTACCTTTCTTGCCTCGGGTGCTTCTGTATCTCCGCCTCTCCTTCCCATGACCTGTGCTATTGGTACCTACGGCCTCGGGTCGTTCTGTATCACTATTCGTCTCCCTTCTCCAACCTACCTTATCTCTGTATTGAGGCTCGGCATTTGAAGTGGCATCAGCAGCACCAGGCGTCCATGGCTCTGGGTCCCTGCGAGTGGGCCTCATGGATGCTCTGTACTCGTTTAACAGGGGAGCAGGTTACTGGAGGAGTGAAGCTAAACCTCATTCTATTTCCTCCCCTCGTCCTTCCTCCTTGGTATTCAGGCTCGCATCTGAAGTGGCATCAGCAGCACCAGGCGTCCCAAGGCCCTGGGTCCCTGAGGGGGGCCTTATGGATGCTCTGTACTCGCTAACAGAGGGAGCAGTTCATTAAAGGAGTGAAGCTACACTCCATTCCAGTATAATAAATAAAACTATATAATCAACCTGTCACTTTTTTTCTCCCTATGTAAAACAGCCCCATGCACCTCATTGCTCCCTCGCAAGCACACAAGAGTAACTCCCTCCCACGCAAAACACAATGTTGTTACTGCAAAGAGTTGATTTTTGAGGCGCCTAAAAAATCAACTCACAAGCACACAAGGGTAACCCCCCGCGCTAGCACAATGTTGCTACTGCAAACACCAGCAAGGAAAATCATATTCCTTGCACTCGGGTGCCACGAAAACTACATAAAGACAACCACCGTTATTTCAACAAACTGCCAGAGAAATCATTTGGGAATGAAGATCAAATCGCCGGGGAGAAAATCATATCAGGGTCCTTGGCCATCCTGCCCTCGTTTGCGTCAATCACCGTGTCGGGGTGAAGGCAGTACTTGTCAGCAATGGCACACACAGTGTCACCAGGTCTCACCTGGGGAATAGAAGGGAAGAGAGGAAGAGAGGAAGGAGAGGGGAGGGCAGGGAGAGGAGTTGAGAAATATTCAAGGCTGCTTTGCATTGAAGTAGTGGGAATGTGGAGGGGCTTTTCTGGGAGGAATTCCAAGATGAAGTGGAAGAGTGAGACTTTTGAGTTTGAGTCGACTCAAAAGGCAGGGAGGGTTTACGTTGGAGAGGGGAGTTTGAGTCGACTCAAAAGGCAGGGAGGGTTTACGTTGGAGAGGGGCAGGAGGCAGGAGGCAGGTGGCAGCAGGAGGCAGTCAGGAGGCAGGAAGCAGGCAGGAGGCAGGCAGGAGGCAGGAGGCAGGCAGGAGGCAGGTGGCAGGCAGGTGGCAGCCTGTCATTCCTTGGTGGGAACGACGAGGAGGTCTTCTGGGAAGATCACGTCTGGATCTTCCACCAGCCCCTCTTGGGGAGGCAAAAAGGCAGCGGGGGATTACGTTGGAATGAAGAAGAAGAAGAGGAGGAGGCTGCTCTGCTTCGTCATTCCTTGGGGGGAACCACGAGGAGGTCTCCAGGGAAGATAACATCTGGATCTTGGTGTGTTTTGAGTTTTCAAAACACACCTGGTATAAGAAGCGGCTGCTCTGCTTCATCATTCCTTGGGGGGAACCACGAGGAGGTCTCCTGGGAAGATCACATCTGGATCTTCCACTAGCCCCTCCTGGTTCGCCTCTTTCATTGCATCCACTCGCACGCAGTAGCGATCAGCTATGCCACACATGGTGTCGCCTTCTTCCACCTGGGGAGGTGGGGGTGGTGTAGGGGAAGGAGAGGAGGACAGGGAGAGGGCAGGGGGGGCAAGAAGGGCAGGGATCATGCGAGGGGTTCCCCGTCAACCCTCCTGGTTTGCCTCTTTTGTTGCCTCCACTCGCACGCAGTAGCGGTCAACGATTCCACACATGGTGTCGCCTGCTTCCACCTGGGGAGGTGAAGGCAGAGAGGGGCACGGAGGGGCACGGAGGGGCACGGAGGGGCATGGAGGGGCACGGAGGGGCATGGAGGGCAGGGAGGGGACAGGGAGGGGCAGGGGGGACAGGGAGGGGCAGGGAGGGGCAGGGAGGGCAGGGAGGGGCAGGGAGCGGCAGGGAGGGGAGGGAGGGTAGAGAGGGCAGAGAGGGCAGAGAGGGCAGAGAGGGCAGAGAGGACAAAGTTGCCAATGGTAAGCCCAATCGCCAGCAGAAACAGCCCCTGCATTAGCAACCACTGCCCGCCCTATCCCCCCAACCACCCCTCCCCATGCCATTATGGTACAACGGTTTCTTCTGCCTTCTGTTCTGCCTGCCTGCCGTGTCAGCAGGAACAGCCCCCTGCGATTGCAACCACTGCCCGCCCTACCCTGCTCCCAACCAGCCCTCATTATGCCCCAAACGCACCTCATGGTACAGCGGTTTCTTCTGCCTTCTGTTTTGCCGGCCCGAGTTGCCAATAGTAGCCCCAATCGCCAGCAGGAACAACCCCCCTGCAATTGCAACCACTGCCCGCCCCGCTCCCCCAACCAGCCCCCCCCTGCCCCTCCCCTGCCTCCTCTCCCTCGCCCGCCCTGCTTCTTTCCATTTGCTAGTCTGTCGTGCCGGCGAGAGTGAGGGCGAGTGGTGGAGTGTGGAACTGCCACAACCATCGCAGCTGCTCTTGCCTCTGCTTCTGCTTTCGCTGCAGCCTCTGCCTTTGCTGCTGCCTCTGCTGCTGCTCTTGCCTCTGCTTTTGCTTTCGCTGCTGCCTCTGCCTCTGCCTTTGCTGCTGCCTCTGCTGCTGCTCTTGCCTCTGCTTCTGCTTTCGCTGCTGCCTCTGCCTCTGCCTTTGCTGCTGCTCTTGCCTCTGCGTCTGCTTTCGCTGCAGCCTCTGCTTTTGCTGCTGCCTCTGCTGCTGCTTTTGCCTCTGCTTCCGCCTTTGCAGCAGCCTCTGCCTTAGCTGCTGCTTCTGCAGCTGCTCTTGCCTCAGCTTTTGCTTTTGCTGCGGCCTCCGCCGCTGCTGCTGCCTCTGCTGCTTCTCTTGCCTCTGCTTCGGCTAATGCAGCAGCCTCTGCCTTAGTTGCAGCCTCTGCTGCTGCTCTTGCCTCTGCTTCTGCTTTCGCTGCAGCCTCTGCCATTGCTGCTGCCTCTGCCTTTGCTCTTTTCCTCTGCTTCTGCTTTCGCTACAGCCTCTGCTTTTGCTGCTGCCTCTGCTGCTGTTCTTGCCTCGCTTTAGCTTTTTCTGCAGCCTCTGCCTTCGCCACTGCCTCTGCTGCTGCTCTTGCCTCTCTTTCTGCTTCTGCTGTTGCCTCTTCCACTGCTGCGGCCTCTGCAGCTGTGGCTGCATCTGCCAATGCTGCTGCCTCTGCTTCTGCTATTGTTGCAGCTTCTTCCGCCATTGTTGTGCCCCTACTGCCGCTGCTGCCACGTCTGCCGCCGCTGCTGCCTCTGCTTCTGCTTCTGCTGCCCCAGCTTCTGCTGCTGCTTCTGCAACTGCTGCTGCCGCCGCTGCTAAGGCTGCTGCATCTGCTACTGCTGCAGCCTCCCCTGCTGCTCCTGTCTCTGATGCTGCGGCTGCCTCTACTGCCACCGCTGCCCCTATTGCTGCTGAAGCTTCTGTTTCAGCTGCTTCAGCCGCCGCTGCTGCTGATGAAGCCTCTTCCACTGCTGCTGCTCCTGCTGCTGCGGCTGCCTCTGCCTCTGCTGCAGCTTCGGCTGCTTCAGAGGCATCTCCCTCTGCTGCTCCCTCTGCTGCAGCTGCTGCCGGCGTTAGCTGCTGCTGCTGCCCCTCTGCTGCTGCTGCAGCCTCTGCTGCTGTTGCGGCCTCTCTTGCCGCTGCATTCTCTCCTGCTGCTGCTGCTTCTGCCACCCGCCGCCGCCTTTGCTGCTGCTGCTATCTCTCCCGCTGCTTCTGCCTCAAACGCTGCTGCTTCAGCTTCTCCTCTTGTTGCTACCTCTGCTGCTGCCATGGCTGCCTGTGCCGTCACTGCTGCCGCTACTGCTGCTGCTGCAGCCACAGCATCAGCACCACCAGCGTTGGGACCAGAGAGGTCACCAGATTTGGTTGCATATTGAGTCTTAGCTTCAGCACCAGCACCAGCACCAGCACTAGCCCTAGCACCAGCACCAGCACTAGCCCTAGCACCAGCACCAGCACCAGCACCAGCACCAGAAGCGATGCTTAGCCCGTCAGTTCCATACTCAGTCATAGCTTCAGCAAAAGCAACTCGAAGCAACGCTAATCGCTTCAGTTCTGTATTCAGTCTTACCTTCGGCAACAGCACCAGAGGCAACAGTTAGCCCTTCACTTCTATACCCAGTCCTTAGATTCAGCACCAACACCAGAAGCAGCGCTTAGCCCTTCCGCTCTATATTCAGTTTCACCTTCGGCAACATCACCGGAAGCAACGCTAAGCCCTTCAATTCCATATCCCGTCTTAGCTTCAGCGACAGCACCAGAAAAAGCGCCAAGCCCTCCTTCTCCCCCACGCTTCCCCCCTTCCCCCTCCCTCAACCCCTTCCCCTCCCCCTGCCCCTTCCCTCCCCTTCTGCCACTTCCCCTTCCCCTGCCTCTTCCCCTCCCCCCTTTGTATTTTGCCCCTTTCCCTTCCCCCTGTAGTTTCCGCCCCCCTCCTGCACTTCCTCTTCGTCTGCCCCTTCCCCTCCGCCTGGCGCTTCCTCTTTCCCTTGGCCTCCCCCCCCCAGCTTTTGAGGCGCCTCAAAAGTAGCCCCTTTCCCTTCGCCTGGCGCTTCCTCTCCCCCCTTGGCCGCCCCCCCAGCACCAACCCTGAGCTAGTCGTGATCTCCTCCGGCCGATCCGGCTCTATCACAGGGGACAAAACCGGCCGCCCAATGTCGAACAAGAAGCTAAGCCTCCTCCTCTGGGCTGGCCGGAGTGGCAGGAGCCGACATAGGGCTGGGTAAACTGCTCGGACTCTCAGGCTCCTGCTCCTGCCCCTGCCCCTGCCCCTGCCCCTGCCCCTTCCCTTTCCCCTTCCCCTGTTTCTGCCCACTGCCGAATCCAAAACAACCCACTTCCTCCTCCTGTGCTGGCACCTGGGCTGATTATTGCTGCCCCGCTTCCCCCTCGCTTGCTCAGAAGGTCCGTTGAGCCAAGCTTGAGGGAAATAGATGAACGCACCCTCTTCTGGGCTGCTGTCTCTGTGCTCCTGAGCTGCTGCCACTGCTGCTGGTGATGCTGGTGCCAGTGCTGCTGACAACGCTGGTGGCGGTTGTGCTGGTGATGCTAGTGGTGGTGGTGCTGCTGGTGATGCTCGTGTCCTCACCAATAGGGATGCTGCCGCTGCTGCTGCTTTTGCTGCCGCTCTTGCTGCTCACCTCCCACACTCGCCCGGCGGCGCGACGGGTTGAGAGAAATCGATCGGAACATGGAAGACACGGTTGAAGCCATCGACTTGCTTGACTTCTCCACCCCTGCCCCTGCCCCCTGCCCCTGCCCCTGCCCCTGCCCCTGCCCCTGCCCCTGCCCCTGTCCCTGCCACAGACCCTTTACTTCTGGATTACCAAAGGCACTACCAGGAAATCCTTCGTTCCATGGGGATCCCTCAGAACTCCCCCCACCAGGCGACTCAGCCCCACCCACAGGTTCTCCTGTGAGGCTGAGCGGGCCAGATTTTGACATGCTGCTTGCTGCTCTGCTGCCTGTGGCGCTCAGTGCTGTTCCGCTCCAACTCTTGGGAATGCCTAGCTTATCCAGAGGGCCCGATTCGACCGAGCGTCAAAACCAGGAACGTCCTGAAAGAGCTGGTGATGCAGCTTCCGAACCAGACTTCGAAATGGCTTCTGTGGTTTCTTCTGCCTCTAGTTTCTGCAATGATGACGCTTTCCGTCTCAGCACCAACAGAAGCAGTGTTTTCAGCAGCGGCCGCAGCAACAGCAGCAGCGGTGGCGCACCAGCAGCGGTGGCGCCACCAGCAGCAGTGGCGCTTTCAACAGTAGCAGCGGTTTCTGCTGCTGCTGCCTTTGCTGCTCCAGATTTCGAAGTGGTTTGTGCTGCTGAAGTTCTGTGGTGATGATGGTGCTACCAGTGGCAGCATCATTGGCAGCACCAGTGGCAGCACCTGCAATGGCATTGGCATTGGAACTACCACCAGCAGTAGCCGCGGTTGGTGCTGCTGAAGGTTCTGTGGTGATGTGCTACCAGTGCCAGCATCAGTGGCCAGCACCAGCGGTGGCAGTGGAAATAGCACCACCCGCAGTGATGCTTTCAATGGTAGCAGGGAGTCCTACTGCTGAAGCTTCTGTGGTGATGATGGTGCTAGCAATGCCAGCATCAGTGGCAGCACCAGCAGTGGCAGTGGAACTAGCAGCACCAGCAGTGGTGCTTGTAACGGTAGTAATGATCTCTACTGCTGACGTTTCTGTTGTGATGAAGGTGCTAGCAGTGGCAGCATCAGTGGCAGCACCTGCAATGGGCAGCACCAGCAGTGGCAGCACCAGCAGTGGGAGCACCAGCAGTGGCAGCACCAACAGTGGCAAGCACCTGCAATGGCATTGGCAGTGAAACTACCACCAACAGCAGTGGTGCTTTCAGCAGCAGCAGCGGTTTTCTGCTGCTGAAGTTTCTGTGGTGATGATGGTGCTACCAGTGGCAGCACCAGTGGCAGCATCAGTGGCAGCGCCTGCAATGGCAGTGGCCGAGGAAATAACTACAACAGCAGTGGGGTTTTCAGCAGTAGCAGCAGTTTCTGCTGCTGCTGCCTTTGCTGCTGCTACAGCCTCTGCTGCAGCAGCCGCCTCTGCTGCTACTGCTGCCTCTGCCGCTGCTGCTACAGCCTGTGCTACTGATGCAGCCTCTGCTGCTGCTGCAACCTCAGCTGCTGCCTCTGCTGCAGCAGCAGCCTTTGCCTTTGCTGCTGCCTCTGCTTCTGCTGCTGCTGCAGCTTCTGTTGCTCCTGCAGCTTCTGCTAATACTGCTGCTACCTCTGCCTCTGCGTCCTCTGCTTTAGTTGCAGCTACTGCTGCTGCTGCAGTTGCCTCTGCCACTGCTGCTACCGCTGCTGCTGTAGCAGCCTCTGTTGTTGCTGCTACCTCTGCTTCAGCTGCGGCTTCTGCGGCTCTTGCAGCCTCTGCTGCTGCTGCTGCCGCTGCTGCCTCTGCTGCCTCTGCTTCTGCTGAAGCATTTGCAGCTGCTTGCCAGTGCCACGGCTGCAGCCTCTGCTGCTGCTGCTGTAGCAGCAGCCTCTGTTGTTGCTGCTGCCTCTGCTTCAGCTGCAGCTTCTGCTG